CCCCAAAACCCCAAAACCCCAAAACCCCTAAGAAATCAAAGAATCTTGAATAATAAGATAATTTAGGTTTCACTAAACATGCTTAGTCTCATATTACTCTTAGTCTTTACGGCTCAGACTGTAGCCTTGCCTGATAATGACAACTTTGTCCTCTATGCAGATGATATTGGAGGTTGCCCTGTGGTCTCGGCTGAAGGTTATCTCTTTCTCATTGGTCCCAACATCACCAAGATCGACCTTGTTCACAAAGTAAACTCCATGTCATGTTTAGGTTGCACACGCTGAACTCGAACTTTACTCTGATGACACCAACCCAGCTAAAGTATCCAGGCTTGACTGAGGAGTCCTCAGCAACGATGACTCACTGCTACTTGTGTTTTCACCAGCCATTGAAGGGCCTCACTGTGCCTTAATAGCCGTCATCACGACTGCTGACATGGTCATGCAGCAAGACAACTGATTCAAAGTTGGCACTGATAATGTGTTTGGACCCAAGATCGCTGATGTAAAGCCGCTGCCTACGTCTGTAGCCAATAGTAGTAACATATTCTTTGCAGTAGGTCATCATGCTGACTACATTGGAGGCGCAAGCACAGCATTTGTGCTTGAGTTCGAAATCTTGGATACCTTCATCACAAATGTTCTTGCTTATAAAATACTGCACTCAGATTTCGACACGTTTGGTCATACTCCTGGGTTTGGCAGTCTTGACTTTGATTCAGCAACTTCGAATGGGCTGAACCTGTTGATGTCAGGAATCATCAAAGACTCGACAACTGAGTATGTGGCTGTACTGTCAGTTAGCAGAGACCTCACCACTGTGAACTGGATGAAGTACGTGAAGCAAAAGTCAACCTCTGCACTCAACACGACATCTAGAGAAATCCTCACCAACTACGACTCTGGCAATGACCAAGTGGTGGTTCTCACAAGGTTCAACAGCTTCAACAGTTCAGATTATTCGGACACAGACCACTTGTACATGTTTGCAATAAAAGCATCAGACGGATCTATGAACTGGGAAATACAAGTTGTGGATTATGCGACAAACCGGTTACATGGATTGAACTTTGCAATTCATGCCAGGTTCAATCAACTGATTTTGATGAACTCGAATGGGCAATATTCTTACTATCACACTCAGACTTTCAGCCTTGCTGATGGTAGTTTAATCAATAATGTACAGTTTGATATCCTGTTTCCATATTCGCTAGCAGGGATCGTCACAGTGCCAAAATCTTCTGGGTCATTTGAAACTGATGATTACATATTCACTGGAGTTGGAGGATATATTTTTAAAGCAAATTCTCGCAAGGCTAACCTTGCATCTGCAACTGATTCTTCTTTGTTTTACCCTTTGACTGAGATCTATTATGATAACTATACATTACCTGAGACGAATCCTACTGACTTTGAGCTTTTAACCTATTCACCATCAGGAGACTTTTTCCAAGATGAAGCAGAATATGATGTAAAGTTGGCAGGGTACAGTTCCAAGCAAGTTGAGGTTCCAACCCTGAAAATAGTTTCAGAGGTTGCAATAGGGTTCAACACTACTGAGGGTTGCTCTTCTAGCACACCTGCAGGACTATGCCAAGAAGAAGACACAAAAATTATTCCAAACACAGGAAGCTTCAACCTGAACAAACCTTACACCAAAGATGGTTTGAAAGACTCGGTCATGGAGGTGACGTTTCAGCTATTTGAGTTTTCAGAGTAAGTTCGATGGTTGTCTAGTTTAAAACCTATGTTTGTGGCTAGCGAAGAATATCAATGTCCTAAATATCTTTACACTTTCTTTAAAATCTACCTGGGTTAAAATTTATTGGATACCTAATCTTTTCTAAGCAGATTACATCGGAATAATTATCGGTGAAGAATAAGATTATTTTTCTCAATAATTGACAACATCACACTTTAGAGAAATTATAAATTAAGAACTTTCCTTGTTTATGTTGGTATATCTAATTTTAAACTTTGAGGGAGCCTTAAGACTCTATCTCTTTTAAGAAATCTGCTCTTCTAAATATTTGAGATTTTACGATAATCTTTTATCAATTTGTAGCCTTGTAAATCCAATTTCAAGCTCATTGTACTCCTTCACCAAGCAAGATGGAAACTACACAGTCAAGTTAGCAGGTCTTCCGTAAGCTTTGTCTAACCTTTAGGGATGGGTCCTACCTGGCTCGGGCAGTTGCAAAGGCAGACCCCCACCACACCTACTACGAGTTCACGCTCATTGTGAAGTGAATATCCAACTGCAAAACCTGTTCCGAGAACGATGTTTGAGATGTCTGCGACAATGGGTATGTTCTCGACTATGCAAGGCAGTGAGTCAGTGGAGGAAACGAGATCATTGACGGGAACATAGTCCAAGGATTAGGAGCGTCAATGATAGGAGGCATGCTTTTAGCTGGAATCATGAAAGGAGCTCTTAGCCCAAATATTTGGGTGATGATAAATACTCTCCAAATTTTACGTACTATTCTGCTCCTAAAAGTCAATATCCCTTTGGCGGTAAGGAAGACTATTGAATCAAGCACAGTATTTGCAATAATAGATATTGGTCTTTACGATTTCATTATTCCAGAACCTGGAACCGAAGCAAGCATCATGAAAATTATGGATGGAGATGAGCTTCTTGGACAATATTTTGAAGAATATGGAGTTGAGACTTACCGATTCATCGACTACACTCTTGAGATTTTAATTAACGTGATCCTGCTTTTTGTCGCTATCACCCTGCTACTTGCTGGCTTATCATATCTCTTCCTGAAATTTTACCAAAAGAACACTTCAGAAGTTTCAAAGAAGTTAAAATTTATTTTCTTTGTAAATGGATTCATCAGAATTTATTTAGAGATCATGCTGAATGGCATTATATACTCCTTTGTGAATCTCAGGAGTGTTCAATTCAATAGTATCGCTGATATATTTTCATATTTGACTTTGCTAGCATTCGTTCTTCTTGTGATTGGATGTAACTTGTTCATTATATCTTACTCAGTTTCCACTGAGTTATCAAAATGGAGTCACAAACTAAAAGAGTTTTTAACAGAAACTTTAATTACCAAGGGAGGAATAATTACATATCATTTAACTTTTGTACTTCGTCGTGTGGCATTGAGTATTAACATCATAATGCTGGGAGTTCTTGGCCCCAACATCCACATCACATTCCATGTTCTCGTTCAGGCGATCACAATCCAGGTGATGCTGTTTTATCCGATGTTTGAAAACAGGTTTCAGAAAGGTATTTTTCTTTTAATCTTTAGTGAGCAACTTAATTATGGAGGTCAGCATTCTTTACATTTTTGCTTCTGTGTACATTTTCCAGAACAGTGAAAGATTTGAGTATGAAGCCAAGGTGTCGGTCTTGTTTGTCTTGTTCAGTTCTCAATTCCTTCTTGTCCTTTTGACTGTGTCTAAAAGCATCAGAGAGATGCTGATAGAGTGGAAAGAAAAGAAATTAATAAAAAAAGAAGAACCAATCAATTCATTGAAAGTTATGAAGAAACCCACTAAAGAAGACACAATCTTTAAAAGCGACATGAAGAAAGGATCTATCTTTAAAAGTGGCTTAAAAGAAGAAAGGAAGTTCAAGCCAAAAAGAAATCCAAAACATGATGATGTCTTGCCAATGAAACATATTTGGGAATTTGATGAACGTACTTATGAGAGAGATGCAGGCTCAAGAGTTTCAGTATCCTCTGGAAAAGCTTTTCATCAAGAGAATGATGAAAATAAAAAGAAAAGCAACACATTAGAGAAGCTATTAAGCCGACTTAAAAGAAGAAAAGAGGCTTTTAAAAGAAGATCTGAGCAATTTCACCAAAAGAATACAATAAACAAGAAACAAGAAGAAACCAAAAACGATAATCTCTCATCCTCAGCCAATCCAAGGCCTGTTTCAGGTAAATAATGCTCAAATCAGTCCACCCCATACTTCTGTCCCTATCTTACCCTCCAAAACCCCACTTTTCTACCTTTACCTACCCCAAAACTCCTCCCCTCCATTCCTCCACCCCTCTAACCCCCACACAGCCCTTATCCAGCCCCAGTCCCCACCCATCCGACCCTCCTCACCTAAAACCCGCACAGACACCTCTTTCCAAAACCCCTCTGCCCCTCCCCACCCAGCCAAGCTGGCTTCAGCCCACTCAAACCCCAGGACAAGCCTAGAGGCTTGTCCCAAGCCCTCTATTGGAGACCTGAGTTTTGATAATGAAGCTTTGTTTGACCAGGAAGAGCAGGAGGGGAGGAAGGGAAGGAATTAAGAAAAATGTAGGTTAAAATTTAGATTTTGTACGGGGTTTTGGGGTTTTGGGGTTTTGGGGTTTTGGGG